GATGCTGAATTTGTCTCACAATCTGATTTGTGTGGAATAGGCATACTAAAGTAGGAATGTGAAACGAAACGGGAGTATCAGACCAATAATTTCAGGAACAAGTGCCAAACTATGGAACTGGCTTCACATACATGTACGCTACGCATGACCACCTTAGTACATGTAACTCAAAAGACAAATAGAAAGTTTTTAAAAGGTTCCTGTGAGGCAATTTTAAAGTTAAACCAGGCTACATGTGCATGTATGTGCAACGAAAAGCAGAGTTCACGTTGATATCCAAAGATTGCTGACAAGCACTTTGGTTAAAGATGGAATAGGAGGTTTGCATGCTTTTTTCACAATATTTTTCCTTTTTCTCTTTGAATTGTGCAGTTTGGTTTCTTTTACGGCACCCGATGCAGTACTTCAACTGGGTAACCAGTTTCTCCACTCCCCTTAAATACATGTACATATACATGTACACCGGATACATGTACATGTATGTACATGTATCAACACCTGACCACACTCAACTGGATGAACCAAAACCAGTGAACTGATTTACATGGAATATGGAAGGTACTGCTCTCTATAAATACACTGTATGTATGGTACACTCAAAAACAACTCAAAAAAAGATAACTTTTAACCATCTCAAATACTGCAGCACTTTATAATTGATTCCAAATTGTCTGAGCAGTACCTATTGGTTCCTCAATTTATTCAAACAGTCACACACACACTTGTAAAACATAAAAGCATTTTTTTCAGGGCACGTGTGAGCTATTTTTGTGATAATATACATGTACATGTACATGTATGGGCCATCACAGCGATAAAATGTTCCTCACACTATTAAACAAAATACACTTGTAGCTTGCCTTTATTGTACGTTTGGAATGCTGTCTTATATCTTAAAATTAATAACAAGCGCAAGAAAACCCTTGTTGTTAATTCATGCATGCACTCAGTAATTTATGGAACCAAGTTAATGAGTGCATAAATTAGCATAAATTAACAATGAGGGCTTTCTTGCTGTGATGTTCCCTACTTCTAGAAGCAACATCGCTTGAGTTTCCCTTTGACATTAAACATTAAATATTCACTGCACTGCCAGCAAAACTGTGGACTCCCTTTTTGTGCATAAATGTGGAATACAAATGCTGGTGAGAAACACTAATATCTCCTCCACTCACTGAAAAGGTTGAAGAAAAACTGCCTCAGAGATGTACATGTACATGTACATCATGTGTGCAGAACTCCCAACTCCACAGGCACAAAAAATATGCATGTACACGTACACCTAAGAGTTCATATGATGCCAGTGGGAAAAACAGATCAAACCAGGAAAGAAGCAAAGCTTCTTCACAACGTCGCAAGGACTAGTATTACAGTACCGGTACTGCCATGGCGCACACTCACATGCATTCTAAGACTTGATTGGTTGAAGCATATGGAACACTAACACACATACATGCATCAACTGCATGCCAGCCTGGCCCTATCACAGTCATGGCTTCTAATTTGGGTTGCCAGTTTAGTCCACATGGACCACTTATGGATCCACATTCACACATGTACAGTATAGAGCCGCTTGATGAACATTTATTGTAGTCAAGGAATAAATATATGCTGGGCCATTCTTAAATACTGCTCACGTATTATCTGTGTTCATTTCCCTGAGCCCGGTCTTAAACATTACCAGCAAAGCACAAATTTATTCCCATTCATAAACACGGTACATGTTGAGTCAGAACATGCTGAAAGTCAAAATGAATTGAAAAAATCAAAAATTTCCAAAGCTTTTGTTCAAGAATTGTACAGCGTTTGTTTAAAACACCCTTGTAGTCATGTTATGATATATGTACATGTACATACCTCTCGTGAGCAGTCACAAATAATGTCCTTAGATCGATGCACATGTTACATGTGACACATGTATACATGTACTGTGTGTGGGGTAAGACACAATCAACCAGTGCTTTACATGTACATGTACATACCTCTTGTGAGCAGTTACAAATAATGTCCTTAGATCGATGCACATGTTACATGTGACACATATATACATGTACTGTGTGGGGTAACACACAATCAGCCAGTGCTTTACATGTATCAACTGTTTAAGACTGGCTCTCGACCAACATGACCAATAGGAATGGGTAACTGTCTAAGTATTTAGGAATGTTTATTTAACATGTTTAAAGTATGAACGCACATATGTACACCTGTACATGCACGTGCAACATTTCTATTGAGGACACTCTGTCTCCACTACACATCCATTTAATAACAATGCATTCAAACTGGAATTTAACCATGGAACAAAACATTTGGGAAACTAAACTGGATGCATATTGCACACAGCAAATTTTGCATTGAAGTTGCAAATTGCTAGCCTTTGCTTCAGTTAACATGCGAATGTACACACTTACATGTATTTACACAACGTATGTAGCATTACTAGTCACAGTTTTTGCCAGACACATGTATACATGTACACGTGCACATATATAAAATGCTATTGATACAATATTTCAATGAACTTTGAGTCAACTTACTACATTAAAACAATACTGACGAAGCCATTTATTGCAGTGTTATCACATCTGCAAGTGCACATACAGTACATGTACATTTTGGCAAGACTTTCATAACACCCTTTTGGTCAACATGGTCAATGGGGCATACCTGTACATGTACTTGTAGGAAGCAGCACATTTTTTAAAAAGTTAGAGGGGAATCTTCCCCACCTTTTTATAAAACAAACACGTTTCCTGCAATTTGGAACAGAAAATGACTCCATCAATCTCTGAACTGCAATATTACAGCAGGACTGAGTTTGTCAGCAGCACAGTGATTTTCAGCCCTTCGCTATTACAGTTTACATACTGGTACACTTTAAATGTGGTATTTTTTTGGTGGGGGGTACTGTTACGGGTACCCGGCCAAAAAAATGGAACTAGCTTTTGATATAGATGGGTGGGTATGCGGCACAAGCTTAATTCAAATGCTCCTGTATGACCCGCAAACAAGAGTGGTACATGTACACGTACCTTAACTTATTTTTACCATTTTGCCTTGCACTCGCATACCGGTACTTTTGTGACAAGAAGAAGTACAATATCATAATACGTCCTGTTAAATAAACCTTGATCTGGTTCCTTGAAACTATCTCATTCAATACCAGAAGTGCCACACAACTTGGGGTTCCACGCCTCACTTTCATTTATTTTTTAAAAAGTTGCTTACTGTAAAACATTTAGAAATCACAAATTTTAAACACTTCATCAGCAAAATGACTAACTCTGTAATGAAGTTTTACTTCAGTGCTTCCAGTTTTATTCTCAGGTGCCAAAAATGAAACAAGTTTTTTAAATGTCAAATTTGTTTCAATTTAACATGGCTGACTTGTGAATAAGGCCAATTGCCTGTTTGTGACATTGGTACCAGCTACAAGTACATGTATTCATCTGACTCAAAACCAGCCAACAGACAGTGGTTGAGTGGTACATATACATTCTGCACTAGTAAGCAAAGGTCATGGGTTCGAGTCCCACCTGGGTATAAAGCTCTTGCATTTCAGCATTTATAAAATTACATAGATTGGTAAAGAGGTGGGAAAAAACAGAATAAAGTAAAACCTCCTGGCAGTAATGATTAACCCTAACAGCCCTCAATCCTGTACATGTACCTGCCTGAGGACTGTTAGGGTTAAGATGCACATGTACAGTACATCTTTAAAAAGGGGTACCACTACTTGTACAATATATGAAGCGTCCAAATCTGGTCAAAGAGTTCATGTACAGAAAGTGCAGGTACGCCTTCACAAGCGCCTCAACTCAGAGGCAAAGACATCACTCTCTATTGTGGATCAAGCCATTTCAAGGGGTTTACATGACTGAGGTTTATGGAAGACAACACATGCAGCCCAAGAAATCATGGGCCACAAGCTACATGTACATGTACAAACTTGATACGTGTACCGGTACATACAACATATGTACCGGGTACCGTGCATGGACATCATTCATTTCTATGCTAATTTTGCATGCTGTTTGGCCAATGATTTAACCACTGCGAACAGTATAAAGGATAGATACACAGTCGCAAACTTTCACAATACAACCAAATGCCTCCCACACATGTACCCACTTGTAAGAGTCATTTGAACAATGTATGACATTTCTTACTACTTCCTCTTTTTTTCCAACATTTGGAACCCTGTTAAAGAGCAACATTTGCTAGAGCAACAAGCCATGTACATCAATCAAGTTCAAGTTTAACAAATGATCCAACTCTGTACACAACTTGTGCATGTGTACAAAGCAACTGAGGGATTTGGTAACTCAGGGAAAATGTCACATTTTAACTCGGCCATAATTCCTGAGAGGAAGGTCATGAGAGATTGCCCAATCATGCTTACACATCCTCCTGTGTAAACTGCATGCAGTTGTTTTTGGAGGCCAAGATTTTAATTTGAATTTTTTTTTTTCAGTGATAGCGTATGCATGCATTACTAATTACTGTAGCATGGGTCAGATGAGGGGGTTGCCAACCAGCTGAGACTGGAAATTCTCTAAAATTATGCAAAGTGAAAAACATGTACGAAACAGTACATGAACACTGTACATGCACCTTGTTGAGTTCCTCTACAGCACTTTTAACACCTGTTGCACATTGACAGTGGTCTGTTAAAATCCGTCAATTATATGTCAAATAAATACATGTACTTCTTTCTTGACCGAGTTAACATGGTTGAGACAAAAGAAACTTCCTTCAGTGGACTTTCTGATGAACTTGTGACTCTAAGAAACCTCAAGTCCATCACAAGTCCTTTAACAAGTCCCTCAAAAAGTCCAGCTAGAAATTCTTTCACAATACCAGTCATAAATAATTGGGTGAACAATGACAAAGGAATGTTTTTGTCACAGTTTAACTGAAAGGCTTGTGAAGACTGGACGACTTGTGCTGGACTTGCAGAGACATGTGATGGACAGTCTGTCAACACTTTTTGCATACTAATCACTTTTCATTGATGGGCCATTCATGATTTGTGGACCAGGCTGTCTGGTTTCCTGCTCGTCATCTTGGAAGAACAAACGGAGGGTATTCTTAATCAGGATCTGCTCGGTCAATAGCGCACCAAAAAACCAAACAGGGGCGTACTCCAGGGTGATAAGCCCAAAGAAGTGGAAATCAAACGGCGAGTAGTCCCATGGGCAGGCTCCAAACTGCCTCAGGACTAGCCCCGTGGAGAATTCCCACAGGTAGATCCAGACGACGTAGATGCATAGGCGAGCAGGAAGTGCTACCTTTTCCTTAAGCCTCAGATACAAGTGCTCTATCACCATGTTGGATGTGCCGTAGATCAGCAGTGACCACACGCTGGTCACTCCGGGAAATTTCCAGTTCATGTTGACCACAAACTCCCAGGCAGCTGTGAACATGACTTCTGCAAAGTAGCCATGGATGGCATAAATGTAGAACCTTACCCAGGCCGATACTGGACCGTGTTCCCACATATCTTCTAGTACCACGGTGAGAGACCAATTACGTCAATTTCTCCAATCAGCACTGATTTTCTGTAACAAAAAACCAAAAAAAACCACCGCAAAGCATGAGATACATGTAGCATTAAAAAGATGTAACATTACATACATGCCCATGTACACATACTTATTCCTGATTCAGTGTGCACTCCACAAGCAGTTACCATGGTTACATGTACATGTACCTCCTCACCTGCTCATGTTACTCAGCTCATTAGAGAACCTAATCATGCTAATTGAAAATTTCCTGGTGCCAAGCATGTTTGGACTACAGTTACATGTAAATGAACATTTCAACCAGTATGTACATGTACATGTACATGTAAGAGCTTGCAGCTAATGCTAGTACATGTGTACGTGTAAATGGTCTCAGATCGTGAAGGAACAGAAAACCATGGAGGAAGAATTTATGTAAATCTACTGTATGCATTATACATGTAAAAGGTATCTATGTCATATCTACACGTGTATGTATCAGGTCCACATGGCTAATGAACATGTACCCTCCATGCAACATGTACATGTACCCTCCTTGAGTTATCATCCACAAGGGGGGGTGGCCTGGATTGTCCAGAGCTATTTTGGGGGTAAATTTCAGTCCTCCCCCGACAAAAATTCATAATCTCCGCTGATTAAAGTTCCATCTTTGCCCTCGGTAAACTTTTATTTTTTTTTGAGAAACACATTTTTGGTCATGTCCTGGCCACGGCACACCCTTTCCAAGCAAACGCATTTCCACTACCATGACTACTCCGACGACTGTAATGTGTTATTCCGATGAAATGTCCTGTCCAAGTGATGTATGAAATAAGAGACGAGCTGTAGTTGGCGAACGTCACCAGCACACCATTCAACCAACAGAATTTTCAGGAAACTAAATAGAAAGAGATGGGAGCCATGTTGTAATTGGTGAAGCTGTCACACTGCCGACAACGATGACCTTTCAACTGACATGACTGAGTGAGCTAGGCAGGCAGTCGTGGACAGGGGTGTGGGTAAGGAAAATTCTCATAAATTTCATCATTTTAAATGGTATAATGTAAATGAACCTCCCCGTCCCATACAAAATTGTATCCCAGGAGACTGTCACACAAGGATGTACATTTGTATTTTTGTGTAAATGAATACTCATTAATTAACCCTAATAGTCCTGAATCCTCCAATTTTGCACACACCCTAGGGAGTTAGGGTTAACATCAGGGTTGACTAGGGTCGCTAGGGTTGACTGTGCAGCACAGTCAGGTGAATATTTTAATTGGATTGATTTTTGGGGTGTGGTATTCCCAATAAGGTCGTAGCAGGAAAGTTCAAAAGCTATTGTGGGCTTTCATTTTACATAACGCATGAAGGGCTTTGGGGGCAGTTCCTGTTGCGTTATTTGGCAAAAACTATTTATTTTTAATTGTATTATATTTTAGGGCTCCTTTTAGTGGACTTATAGTTAACTTTGATCAAGTTCTGGGGCGAGACGATAGCAACCTACGGAACCAAACTGAGATCGCATCGTCCACCGTCAGAGAGATGCCCAGTTGACTGAGTAAAAACCTCCACGAGGGAAACGCCCAAGAGAGCTTGTCCGAGGCGCAATCAGCAACACTGGTGGTAGCATTTGCAATGCAGAAATTTATATCTTTATTGTGGCCACATATTAGTAAAAAAGGTCGGAACTGTAAGTGATCACCTTATAACTTTGAAGACAGAAGTATCGGTGTACAGTTCACTCATCGTATATACATGTATTGTAAATAAATGTTTTACTTGGAAAATTGAATCTGTTCAAAGATTTTCATCAGTGAGATGTTCCAGAAATTCAAACCTACTTACATGTAAGTTGCTTAGAGCCTGGCTCATGACAAAGACCTCATGAAATTATAGGGGAAATATTGATGTAACGGCATAAAAATTTCATACAAACCGAATTGGCACCATGTTTGACATGTCGGATATGACTATTTACATTGCAACATGTACTTGTAAAGTTTGCATAAACCCTACAGTTCTGTAAGTAGCCTACAGGTGTACATGTAGGCCTACATGTGGTTAACTGTCACTTGCCCTATTTCCACGTTGCCCCTAACCACTTCGCCCCATCTCCACATCACCCCATCCATCCCCACATTGCCCCAACTCCACTTCGCCCCATTTCCACTTCACCCAATTTCCAATTTGTCCCATTTCTACTTTGCTACGTCCATGCTTGAGTGTGTTACAAGCCTCTATAAAAAGTGGTCGAAAAAGGAGTTCCACAAACAACATCATGATGGAGTTATACAGTGTATATAGAAAACCCTATGGATTCACTTTTAATGTTGACTGCGTTGTTCACGGTGAATTAATACATGTGGTTGAATTAGCATAGGGTTTATTTCTCATCCTCTAAGTTTATTTCAAAGCGAAACACAGTATCAACAGAGGTCACATACACGTAAAGTGGCCGTGGCATGAACAGTCTGGTTGCCAGACTCCATCACTTATTCTCTTGCATGGGTACGGCACGGCGAGAACCAGTGCTTTGCGCACGTGTTTTTACCACAGCAATTTCAGTGAAACACAAAAAGAACAAAACACAACAAAAAGAAATTAGTAGAAGTTGCTTTTCAAATGTTGCAAACGTAACTGAGAAAATATGTAGTGTCTCGCCGAAAAATGAGGGTTGGTCCGGAAATCCAAAGCCTTATTTTTTGGTCTCTGCAAGTTGGATTCTACCACTGTTATTTAGTTGCTCAAACGTCGATGTTTTTATTTGTTCCATGAACGATAATTGGTGGGGAGAAGTGAAAATGGGGCGAAGTCGAAATGGGGAGAAGTGGGGCGAACTACATGTACCCCTAGAACTGTGGGGTCCGACGTCCACTCCGCTTCCACAGAGCTGACGTCGGACCAAACAGTTCTGGGGGTAGAAGGATAGGCCTACTCAAGTTTGTTGTCAAAGGAAAATTAGATTGAACAGATTTGTTCCACCTGTGGATATGGGCCGGATCATTCACTTCTTAAGTAGGGAGTCCAGCGAAATGGCACCTCTAAAATTTATATCTGGAAAGAAGCGTGTAAAATTGTTTGTTTTCAATCAATGATTTCTGACCTTTTTGTGCATCAAATTCTATATTTTTGAAAAGGAGTTGTTTTGTAAAAGAACCAAAATTTGTGTTGGTACCATTTATTATGTCTGAGCTACCCCTAAAAGTGACAGACTAATTACACCTAGTTTTAAGTCAAAAGAATTTGTAACTTCACTATACCCTGTATACAGTAATACTATGAGTACGATGTAGGCTAGCTAGGCCTACGTATTGAGCTAAATTTATACCGTACAAATTCAATTTCTTTTGAAATACTCTTTCCAACCATGCCAACCAACGGTACTAAATTTATGGGGGTCAAACAAAAAAAACCTGAAAAGTGCCAGACTCCCTATCTAAAGTTCGATTAAAAAACCCAGCCATACATGTAGCTTTATGACTACATGTTCACTTTGAACTTCATATGCATACCTCACAACGTTACATGCACATGTTGTAACGTACACGTACTATAGCTGGGACATGTGGGAGGTTTTGGACAGAGCCGGCCACAAATCCAGCTTAAATACTGCGTATCACCGCAGGCCTTGCCTTGGAATGGAAAATCACTCACCTCTGAAGAGAAAAGAGCGTGATGCTGCTGAATTTTCTGTCAGTTTGTTTGTAGCATCCACCTCCACCTTCGCAACGTGGCCCACTACGGGATCAGGTCAACTCGGACCCAAACCAACTCGGACTCATGCCAACTCGGACCAAGGACCAACTCGGACCAACGCCAACTCGGACCCAATACTAACTCGGACCAAGACCATCTCGGATCCACATCCAACTCGGACCCACGCCAACTCGGACCCACCTTTAGTCAACTCGAACCCAGGCCGAGTCTTATGGTTGCATTACTCCAAATACGCGCACGTAGACCGAAATAGCCCGAAATAGTGCCAACTCTTGAACATCGCGAAGAGGTCGGCCTTCATTTTTTTTTTGGAAATTCAAGATTATATTTTCCCCTGGAAATTCAAGATTATGGCCATATTGATCACTTTTCGTTTCAATTTGATTTTTTTTTTCATTCGCCTTTTTCCAAAGATAACACCCTAATAGTATTAAAACTATGCGCTCAGTTCTTACAGAATATTAATAATGAGTTCGTGGGCAGACATACGACGCTTCAAAACCTTCTCCAAGTTTAAGACAATAGGAAATATTCCACATTTTTATTTTAAAACGATTTGATTTGTGTTGTTCGAAATTACCAACCTATTTGAGTTATTTGAAGAGTCAGTTTAGACCTAAATAGATGAATTCCTCCATCTGCCTAAATCTTGCCGGTATTGGGGGTGGGGGAGGGAATGGGGCAAGGTGGAGGTGTAAGGCTTGCCAGGCCAACAAAATTGGAAAAGTGAGGTGGGGGATAACACCACGAGACACTATAAAAGGCCACTGTTTGTGATATTGATGTATATCTGCAGTACGTGTTGTGCTCATGCAGCATCTCAAGTTATGTACATCAAAAGGGCCTATCTGTGGCTTTTTGCATCGAAAACTTTGGGGGCTGTTTAGTGAAAGTTAATTCGATTTCCTCTGGTGATCTGGAGTGCCAAAAAACTTCGGAGAAAGAGCGTCAATGATTTGGTACTGTCAATCACACTCCAAAAGCTGCTCCCATTGGTTGTCCCAAGCCCCCACTCCCCGATTAAAGTTCAAGAATGGAAGGTGACAAAGTCAGTCTTTGTGGTCAATCACGCCGGTACCTCGGAAGCTAATAGCCTATTAAGATTCCAGATTACAAGCGGCAAATAAGACATCAAAGGAAATGTGCCTCCATAAAAATACGACGCTCGTCGGTTACTTATCACTCATTGTTCCAAGATATCACTAATATCAAATCTAGTCCTGTACCGTTTTCAACCACCATGCCTGTTCAAACTCGAAACCTGTGCCACTGTTTCCCTGCATTACGTGTAGAGACGACGTTACATCTTGGCAGCATGCAGTGTAAAAGTGTCATTTACCAAATGCTAAAATGTAAAAATGGACAAAATCAAAATTTTCAAAAAGTTAATCACGCTCCTGGGGTTGGGTCCGAGTTGACTCAGGGTGGGTCCGAATTGGTCGTAGGTCCGAGTTAGTATTGGGTCCGAGTTGGTCGTTGGGCTGGGTTAGTGTTGGGGCTGAGTTGGCATGGATCCGAGTTGGTTTGGGTCCGAGTTGACTCGAAACCCATGCATACATATACATGGATGTACAGTGTACATGTACATCTATGGGGTGCGTTCTCTGAGCTTCCCTGAACACACCAGTGTTACACTCAAGGGAAGCCTCAAAATGAGGCTTATCGAACGCTGCAGTGTGTTTTCCAAGGCATTCTGGGAAAAAGGTCAAGTCCCCGCCACGTCCCATGTACGTCCCTGCTCTAACAGTCCATCTGTTACGTCATTACACTCGGGCAGCCTCCAGAGACCCGCCCGCTCGCCAGCTGGGGTAGTAGTGGTTGACACCAGGGCAAGCACAAGGATCACATGATGGCTAAACGAACGCTCTGGTGTAAGTTTGACTTGCACGTGCAAGCTAATCGAACGCACCCATTAAAGTATAAACAAAGATTGTATAGCACCGCGCTGCGGCGCTATACAATCTTTGGTATAACTATGTACAGTACAGTAGAGCCTACGCGTGGTAAAATTTGGTCACGCGACGTTACTATTAAGCGCGGCCAACCCTTGCCCAGCGCAGCCAGGGCGCCCTCGCTCACAAACCATCAGCAGGAGCGATGATACGCCTCTTTAGCTTACGCACGCGTGACGCGTTCGCAAACCAAATAAATAGCAAGGTCTTGGAACCAAGGCTAGTTGAAGCAAAGATCAGCTAGCGCCTTTATGTATGTACTATGTATCAAAGATAGCGGCGCTATACTGATAGTATCCGGCTGAGTTCGGGCGGCTTGTTCTCGTATGTTCATGAACCGCTCGATTTGTTGTTCGTTAGTCGGCCGCTCGAACACCGGGAACGTATCTTATTGCATGCATCGTGGCGGCATCCATGTATGTTCTTCCTACCTCCATGGTTCTTTCAAATTGACATGCTCAGCAACTTAAGTCAAAAGTCACAGAATGTAACAGAATGAGCCTTAAGTTTTACATAGAAATCAATGTCACAGGACGAAACAAAGAAGTCACTATCATTACTTTTCAATAATGTACATGTGTATGCATAGTCAGTAAGGATGGCATCCCTATGCAGAAACTACTCATGCACATCATTTTGACAACAGGTGTTCACTTTGTCATTGGTTGTTTAAAGTGTTGTCCATTCATGGGTCATTTTTGCTTGGTGGAGAGTGCTTGTGTGTGCATGACGTTTGATTCAGTAACTAAGTTGCTTTTCATGTCAATTTCCTCTTTGTTATAAAGACAATTTCTTGCTTTTGGGCATATGATTAGTAAGGGGTATTGCAGCATACCTGTGTACAAAAATTGTTTATTTCTTTGGAGTGAATTTTTGTGTGTGGCCTTTGACAGAAGAGGCAAGTTTCTTTTGCTGTCCAGTGTATAACAAGCTAAAAAGGGCATTTTTTCTGTGCATGCGAATTCTAAATGTAGATAGCGTCATTCGGAGAAAACAGAAAACAATGGATAAACCTTGTGCATGCCAAACATTGGCTACAAACAATGGCAACATGCATTGTTTGGCATGCACAAGGTTTATCCACTACAAATACAAGGCGAGGGTTCAGAATTCGCATCTTCGCATGAACAGAAAAAAAAACTCTTAGCTTGTTGTAGTTAAAGTCTGAAGAAAATAACACAGCATTTGATTTGGATGCTTTCATATTTATTTGAACAAATAAAATCAGAGAAAACGTGCTTTCCTTAGAAGTGCTCTTTAATCTTTGTTTCAATTTTTTAAATCACAGCTTTGCAGCCATGGAAACCAGGACAGCCATCGTTTTCACTATTGCATCTGTTATTGTACTCTTTTCCTTGCCCATCCTTCATTTCTTGGCATTTGGGGTGATGATCTTCTTCATTGTCAATGTCACTATGGCATTTACCCATGATGGAGACCTCCTACTTATGTTGTATGAAAAGTGGGGACAGGATGGATGTAAGTTGTAAATGTTGGTGTACAGAAGCAATTTATTAAAAACTAGTTAGATTTCTCTCTTACACGTATTTTGATCAGCCTACGTTGCTAGTTTGTGTAAAATATGCCCACTTGCAGACAAGTGGACATGTACACTGTATGTGAGGTGATTGTGCCCAAACTAACTCAAACAGTAGAAAAGGATTTGTATCCTTGCTGCCATCAATTGTCTCGAATATCTCCCACGGATGGCGGCTTAGTTTCCAGTTGATACATGTATATTATATTTGGTATATTTATTATTCCAAATGACACATGAATGTAATGCATTCGTCTATGCAGCCAGGGTATTTGATACAGGTACATGTATCTCTCAGCCAGAATCTCTTTGATCTCATCCACAGTGCGAGATGTTAGATATGGAGTATGTTACACGTTGATCGTTGTGTGCTCCTTTTATCTACCATACTTTACACAGGTTTGATATTTTCTGGTACTACAAAATAAAAATGTAAAGACAAAGTACCATGGCAGTAGATTACATTGTACTTATACAAGCTCGTCTTCTGCCCATGGTGAGTACCTGTGTAATCTTTGCAAGGTAGATGTTTTGAATTTTACTACTTCCAGCCAATCTGAAGGGCAAAGTTGCGTGGATAACGGGGGCCTCAAGTGGTATTGGTGAAGCACTGTCCTACGAATTAGCGCAAAAGGTACAAGTAATTAAGCTGCAACCGTTCCCCAGAATTAAATTTTTGGTGATTTATTTTATTTACCATGTCTGCATGTACATCTTTATCAGTGTGACAATTGCATTCTTTCATTTCATTTTAGATTTTGTTCTTCCCAAATCCATTTCCTTAACATGCAAGTTTTGCAGGCATAACTTACAGCAGACAAACGGAGAAACTTACAGTTTGTGTAGTATAGTCTAACAGATGATCCTTTTCATGGATTGTACATTTAATAGGATGCAAAGAAACATAAATTAGTTATTTTTAACTGTAGGCAAAGTCATTATAATTTTACATACACCTGTACTTGTATATGTCCTGGATGGAAGTTTTAAAATTGTTGCAAATACTGTTTCAGGGAGTCAAATTGATTCTGTCATCACGGAGGGAGCAGGAATTGGAGCAAGTCAGAGAGAGATGCCTGCAGTTCTCAGAGTTGACTGATAATGATGTCCTTGTGCTACCCATGGACCTTAGAAATTATGAATCTCATAAAGGATGTGCAGACAAAGTATTGAGCCATTTCAAGAAGGTGAGAATTTGTGTAAATAATGCACCACTGGTGCATTTCTGCCATCAGATTCTGCCATTTTCTGTGAACTGTCCATCTCCTGCATGCAAATTCTGTAAACAATCATGACTGTCCTGTTTTATTTTCTCTGTCCATTACTACAGGTTGACATCTTGGTGAACAATGCAGGACGTTCCCAACGCGCCTTTGCTGCAGACACCAGCTTGGAAGTAGACAAGGCTCTAATGGACCTGAACATCATTGGCCAGCTGTCTGTCACCAAGGCCATCCTGCCCCACATGACAGCGAGGAAGGAAGGTCACATTGTCAACATAAGTAGTGTGGTTGGTCGGGTACCAGGCGAATTAAGCTGCACGTACTCTGCTTCTAAACATGCCATGTTGGTAAGCACTGTGCTGTATGTTTCTCAGGAAGTTAAAAATGAAACATTTTAAGCATTTTAAAAAAATTCTAGTTGCCGTGTTTTAGAATGGAATTTTATAATATAGAATGTTTCTGTCTGCTTCCCATTCAGTTTGAAGGTTTTTTCTTCTAAACGCAAGATTGACTAAATTGAGTGTCTATCTGACAAGAAATAAAACATTTGATAAACAACTCAATGGAATTGTACAAGAATAAGGTTGTCATTGACTCACAAGCTTTACTCATCAAGTTTATGAAGGTCTTGTTGCTTTATAACCGTAACCCCCCAGGCCCATTTGGCTTTTGCCTCCCGCAAGATCCTCCAACTACCTCCATTGAAAATTGGATTCATCCTCGATCCTCCAAAGTCCTCCAATATGTCTTGTATGTATGTTCCTTGAGGGGGTGACAATTGCCTCAGTGCTTCAAAATAGACAGTTCTTGTCATTATGTTGAGGCTGTGATGGTACTTTATTGTGGAACAGTATGGCAAGATTTCACGCATAAATCTGGGCCTGAATGCATGTATGGCAGAGCTCGCATAAACAATGCACAGTCTGGCCCAAGACCTTAATGACACAATGCATCCTTGCCAGTCAGCCACACATTCTCACCAGTCAGCCTTGATCTTCCAAAGTCCTTCAAACTCAAAAACCCAGAGAATTTTGGAGGATTGAAGAAGGTGAGGGCTATTTTCATAAATTTGTAGTACAGCTGAATAAAAAATTAACAGCTTAATTCTTTTGACTGTACACGTACATGTAGCTTTGTTAGTGAAATCAAGATGGTGGAGATCACAATTTTATCATGTGATGTGAATTTTCTCTTTCATCGTATAGGGTTACTTTGGAGCATTTGCCTATGAAAATAAAGACATAAGCATAACCAACGTGTGCCCTGGTCCCGTCAAAAGCGAAATTGTTATCAATGCATTTGGCAACAAACTAGATGCGGTAAGATATCTTGTCTTTCTGTTTTTGAAAGGAAAAAAGTATGACTACTTCTCAGTGAACATTTCTTCCAGAGGTGTAAATCTTAAATGATGAACATACTCATTTTAAACAGGCCATGGCTGACCAATGGTATCCCTGTTTAAATTTTTTGACATTGTCATGATCACTGGTAAGAATCTCAGCGGAGGTCGGGGGTCAGCCATCTTGAATTATGGCCCATTATTTTGGCTTATCAAAAGGAAGATTAGTAAAATTCTATGTGTTTTGTATGAAAAAAAGTTATTTACATGTAATAAGCCTGTGGGAATAATCTTCATCATGGTCTGTGATGCATCAACTGAATGATTTCTTTGACAAAGCCAAACTTTGTTTTGAGAACTTCCAATCATTTCATGACACTGCAGTTTTTACACACCTACAGTATACTATGAAGTTCTTGTGCAAGTAGTTTGACGTTACACGTATGTTTCTGACCACTGGAGTTCCTTACTTTCAATCATGAGCATTCCTTTTTTTCTTTAACCAGCCCAAGTTTAAAGATGACCACAGTGCCGCAGAACGTGGCCCATCTTTTTGCATGACGGCGGAGCGTTGCGCTTCACTGATTGTCATCGCCGTTGCCAACAAATTGTCTGAAGTGTGGATCTGTAAGAACTTGGCGATGTTTTTGATGCTAATGTACCAGTGGGCACCACTGCTGACTGTATGGTAAGCAGACATTCAGGACTCAGAGAAATTGTAGTCATTCTGATGTTAGTAAATGCTACAGATTCTTAACAACTTCGCTCCAAAGGACGTGTAAGGGACGGCGACCATTTAGACCCGGTTTGAAAAGGGCCCCCTGGTAGCCCACCCGGTATAATGCCTGCCCGGTATTCAGGCTGCTCTAGGCCGGTATCAGGCCTGTCTACACATTGGTATTTCAAAGTCCCTGATGAAAGGCTTCCCCCACCATGCTTCCACAGATGAATAGGGGTCTAAGCGGATTAGTGTAAACATTGTATAGAGCTGAAGGATTAAAAACCACAAGCGGGTTCCTTCTGGGATACATGTGCCAGTACTTGCAAACAATAGACCCCAGGATGGAGAAGTTCGAGATCAACAACCAGTCCAGCATTCCAGGCCGGTAGCCAGGCCGGTATGAAAGGGGTTTTTGCAACAGGGCGAGCTTACCGGGGGGCCCTTTTCGAACCGGGTCTAAATGGTCGCCGGCCCTAAACACAATCTGGCTGTTTATCTCAACATTGGTAAAGCCCGCTTTCGGCTGATGTTAAAACTTGTTAAGGCTCCCTTTGTTTTTTACACACACGTCAAGTCCAGGAACTCAGAGAGGTAGAACTTGTTTAACTTGAACTTGGCCTCCATGTAGGGGGTTAGCGATGTCATTGCCTAACTACATCATGGTGAGCTTTGATGTACCGTCCCTGTTCACTAATGTCCCCACCGATGAAGCCTGCCACCTAGCCTATCAACGACAATGATCCTACCCTCTTCAGGTGAACCACCATCTCCTGCCCACATTGCCAACCTCCTCCACTCCTGCATCTCCTCTAGCTTCTATATACCCAGTCTTAGGCAGCACTTTCACAGAAGAAGTTGAATTCTCATTCTTCCTCACCGCAGACCTGAACCTCAGCCTCTGGTGATGCTACCTTGACAACACCTTTGTCATCTGGCCCCATGGACCAGACACCCTCCAGGAGTTCCTGCTGTACTTCAACAGCAAAACCTCACATAAAGTTAATCATGGAAAAGGAATAGCTAGCCAGCTTTCCTTCCTCACAATGCATGCCGCCAGTTCTCCCCATCTCCTTGTCCATCGCAGGTCCCACCCCCACACCGACTGGTATCTTCGTCAAATATCCTTCCACCACCCCTGCATTAAATCACACCCTTGTCTGCCAGGCCCTTGAGATTGTGACAAGTACAGTATACAGCTGAATGGACATAAGCCCAACCAAGTCCACCCTACCAAGCCCACCACCCCTGGATGTAAGGGTCTCCTATAGGTCTCTCTCAAATGACGTTACATGTACTTCCTACAGATCGCCACGTGTATTAACTTTTTTCACTTCAATTTTTGTGACTCTCAGCTGCACCGTTCTTTGAACATTATTTGAATCAGCACGCACGCGAGTTTCGAACATTTTGCATACTGCGTGCACACGCTCCTGTTTGTGTTACACAGTTCCAATTTTCCTACACAGATGGCGTCCATTGAGAGAGATCTCTACCCGAATCTAACCCCTCTCTATCCTAGGTATCTCTCCATCTGAAGATCCACCTTATATCAGCTTCAGTGCATCCTAGATCAGCCAACATCCAAGTCTTCCACACTGCCCCTCTCAAACGTACTGCAAGCCTTGCTCCAACCCACAAGGACTAACAACCTTGCAGCAGCTGACTAGGAGTCTACCACATCCCCTGCAAGTCTGCACAGGGGAAACAGGCTTGAACCTTCCCACCAGTATCTGAGAACATCCAACTCATCATGACCAACATAACAAAGAAAATACATGTACAACAAGTCTGCCATTTTCAAATACGCACATGCCATGGACCGCTTCATCAGTTTGGACCGAGCCTAAATCAGCGCCCTAATCCAGAACTGGCATCCAAGAAGGATCCAGGAAGCCACCGAGATCTAGAGACATGACACTGTTCTCCAAGACATCAGATTCTAGCTCAGCGATAGGGGGGAGCCACTCCTATAGGCTTCCAGCATGCAGACACAAGAATCCTCTTGTCCACACTTCAGCAACCAGTATGTAGCATCCACCCTTCCGTGCCCCAGTGTCCAGCCACCTGCGTCCAGCCCCCTGCATCCCAGATTCCACGCCTCATCACCCCTCACTTCACCTTATTTGACAACCCTCTCCACCAACTCTCTCCTGAGGATGACCAGAACATCATGGTTCAAATGTCAAACTTGAGAGCAAACTTTTGATTAGAACCATACTCTTCGACCAAAAAGGTTTTTAATTTTACAAGTGCCTCCGCAAGACTCCTGCAGCACCTAAATTTACATCAAACGCATTGAGAGAATTGACTGCGTGATTAAAGAATTCCTGGAATCACATGTGATCATAAGGAGAGATTTATGTAACAGGGAAAAATGGCACGCTATGAGGAATTAGCAAAAACAATAAAAACTCTAACTAAACCAAGGATCTTTGAAGGGAAAGTCGCAGGAAACTGAATTAATAAGGACTCAGACACCAATATTTGACTTCAAAAAAGGGACCAAAAAAAAATAATTTATTAATGAAAAAGTACAGGAAAAATGAAAAAAAAAACTAAAAGGACTCAAGGACTAAAAACCACCCAAAGACTCAGACTTTAAAAGACCCAAAACCAAAACCCAACACAGTGCATAAAAATGGACATTATGAGTTTACACTCAGACTTCAATCAGTAGGAAAACATGAGAAGTAGAAAACATACATACATGTATAAGAAACAACAAAATCTCTTGTGCATGAACTACATAGAACAGGAAGGAGAGCCAGATTAACACATCATAAAACCGAAAATGTGCACAGGTCTATGGGGCTCATTTAGTATTCAAATCCCCTGGCAAGTCCAAATAAACAATCAACTAAGGAAGAGAAGACAAAGAAAAGCATGTTCTGAGGCAAATGGGTGGAAATACTTATACATCACTAACATTCCTAAACTAAAAAGAGTAAGAAAGGTAAGAAAATATGAGAAAATCAGATAAGTATAGATCTAAAAGACGATATTTAAGCTTATAGTGTGTTTTAATTCTAGACATAAAAGTTAAACTTAGGAAAACTTTAGTGATTCAAAAAACTAATACGCAGAAAGAAAATTCACAAACCTTGGCCAAAAAAGGTTTAGAAACTAAATAATATTGGGGACAGAGGGGAAAATTAACTTTACACATGAAAAAGAAAAGCTTAGAAACTCACCACTGACTGCTAGCAGAATAGGGCTCAAGCAGGAAACCACACTCC